ATTATTGTGACCAATACAACATACACTATACCCACTACCATGTCACACAGAACTAAGATATAAATTCAAACAATAACTTCTTCAATGGGAACTAGAAATTTACTTTGCCACCTCTTCTTACAAGTACTTTTACGAATGCAAATAAAGTATATCATTCTGAAAAATAACCTCACACGTGTAATATTCACAGGCTACATACCAAAACTACAACTTGTTTTCTGTCATAATACATGTGAACTGATAAAATCTAATTCACTCTCTATCCATATGTCCACTGAAACACATTTTGTGCAAATCACTGTATATCCTTCACACGAGATTATTAATAATAATGTAAGAATAACCACAATGATACAATGTCTTTCACTACACACCCAATCTTCTTACATGTACTTCCTTTCCTTAAATCAATAAGGGTACGTTGTCGTGAATTCTTCCTTCACACATACACGTACTTCACGTTCATAGTTCAGAGGGAAAACAATTCGTTTTCGTTGCGGAACAGAGGAAACACATGTTCGTAAAATTTCGTGCACTCGCCATTACTCGGTCCACGATAATACACACATTAAAGCATACCATTTGCACTATTTCACTGAATCTTTTAAGATATACTTTCAGGCAGATAATTATTCACAACTTGTACGTATATGTATATAAACACACACATAACACCGTCTAATTATTTATAAACACCTCTTCACACAACGAAAGAAACGTACCTTAATTTCTGCACCGTATATTTACGTCACATTGACAGGGCAGCCAACCTCTTTACATGACTCAAAAAAAAACTTTCCATTATCAGTTCGATTACAGGACGGTAATTTTTCAACATATTTTTTACCCATTTTCGTCTATATTATTATTCTACTTCCTATATAGGAAGGGAAATTCGGGCGAAACAAATGCCAAGCAATCACCGAATTGGTCACGTATCCATCCACGAGAAACAAGGGAACGATTTCACTGATAATAAAGATATTTCGTAATAACGTTATGCCACTGGAGGGCACCATAATGCCATAATATCTGATATTCAGTAATCATTTGTATCGCGGTCAGGAATGTGTAAACTCGTGAAGTGGGAGCGGCGTTTTCGACACAATCTAAGCTATCACGTACTAAAATGACCTCGGAATATAAGAGCACAGATTGATATTATGGGTGGAAAAACTATAAACACGCTCAATTTTATACATAACGCCATATTTCGATTTATATTCCATGTTACGACAGTCCTATATTACGTTCCGTTAAATAGCAGCTTCGTAAATGACG